GCCCCCCGCCCGGCTTGCCCCAGCCCCCCACTCTGGAGCCTTCCATCTTCGGAGCTCCTGAATGCAACGCACACGGATCCGCGCTGAGCTCAACACATTCCCCAAGCCCTGCCCTGTCCTCCGCGCACCTGGGCCTCCTGCATTCTTGAGGCTCTGGCCCTCTGCCCCCAACATCCCTCCCCCACACCTACCCAGGTATCTGTCCTCCCCCAGCAGGAATCTGCGCCCTCGTTCCTTCATCTCCCAGTCACTCAAGCACCCTGCCCCCCGCATCTCCATCTTCTCCTTCTCCTCACTGAGCCTGACTACCTCGTCTTCTATCCTCTTTCTCTGAGGCTGTTGCCCTGGTCCCAGGCTGTGAGCCTCTGTCCAGTGGGACATTCCAGCTTCCACCTGCAGCCTGCCGTTCTCTCCTTCCTCCCCCGCTCCTCGCAAGAGCCCAGCTGGGTACCCTGGAAGAAGGCAGGGGAGCCATTCCCTACTGGGGAAGCTGGTCACTCTGGGTCTCTGCCCACCTCCCCTCTCACACACACTGGCCAGGGAATGAGTTTCTGCTTGATGTTGCAGTACTGGATGGGAGGCACAGGGACCTTAAGAACAAGCCTCCCCCTCAACTACTCATTCTGGCTTTTCTCTTTCAGAAAACCGGCCATTCCCGCCGGGCCTTTGGCCGACTCACCCATGGTGCGTGGACCGTGGGCGTCCTTGCTCTAGCCCATGCCTACTCCTCCTCTTGGTCCCTGTCCCTCTGTGAGGCATCAAGGCCCTTGAAGACAGCCCATGAGATGTGGGACCCTCCCACACACCCCACACTTATCTACCACCCACCCGACCAGGCCCCCTGTGCCCTACAGCTGAGAGAGGACCCGGCAGCAGGGAGGGCGGCTCGCTAGCACACTGGGTGCCGTGTTCTCCATGTGAGGCCTAGTGGGAAGGAGTTCATTGCCATGCTTTGGCAACCAGTACGTGGCTCCTGCTTGTCATGGCAGCCAGAGGGAAACTGAGGCATAGAACCTGATAGAATCTGGGAAAGTTGAAAATACTCCCAGGAACCTTTGCTCCTAACCTAACCACTGGGCATTTTTGAGGACAATTCAACAGTAGAAGAGAGGGACCTTGAGGAAGGTGCCTGTCACATCATGATGCAGACAGATAAGGGGTTGGTTTGCAAGGAAGGGTCAAAGCACAATGCAAATATTGTAATAGAGGGTGGGCCTGACTCCTAATGGGAGGCCCAGGTCTGCGGCTGGACTGAACACAAGCAGGTGTGTGTGTGTGTGTGTGTGTGTGTGTGTGGCCAGTGGCGGCACCAGTGCCAAGGATACCGGAACCACTGGGGCAGCTGGAATAACCAGCCCAAGTATGGGGGTCCCCAGTGCTGGGCACATCCCAGGTATCTCCCTCCTCACCCATTGCCACAGGGCACCTCTGGGGACTGGGTACCTCATGCCCCTTCTGTCCTGACTGCCCTCCATGCCCTGCCCCACAAACGCTCTGATAACAGTCTGTCCCTGTCTCTCTCCTGCTGCTCCTATGGAAGCGAAGTTTTCCGCTCCTGCAGAAAGCAAAGTTACGGTAGGAAACTGGCTCCTGCTCTAGCCCCCCGCATCCCCCCCTTTCCAACCTGGCCCCGGCCTCTCCTCACCCTGCCTCAGCTGCACTCGATGCCTTCCAGCTGGTTTGGGGTAGAGGACAGGCTGGCCCTGCGGTTGGTCGAGTGCCCTGGCGGTACGACTCTGAGGTGACTCCTCTTTGTTCCTGGGGTGCTTGAACCCAGACTTTAGAACCTTGGAACCTAGGACCTGATGATTTTGGGGGTGCACAGGAGCTTAAGCTTTCACTGACAATGGGAGGAGGGAGAAGGGAGGAGGCCCTGATAATCCATTAAGATATTGGCAGACGGGGAGGGGGTGGCAGTTTGGAGGGCCCTACGGAGGTGAACGTGAGTAACCAGGGGCCCAGAGATGGAGCCACGGCACTGTCATGGGAGGGGTTATCCTGAGCAGCCCAGGCTGGGCAGGAGATGTGGGGAGCAAAAGAGAGGAGGTGCTGGCAGCCCTGCCAGTGATAAGATGGAGCCTGCTGTTGGCAGGGAGGCAGAAGGCAACAGGGAAGAGTTGGAGGCAGAGGGAGGAGGGCCCTGCCCACACAGACCCCTTCTTCTCCAGACTCAGAGACGGCTGAGGATGACATCAGCGATGTGCAGGGGACCCAGCGCCTGGAGCTTCGGGATGACGGGGCCTTCAGCACCCCCACGGGTGAGCTCCTGGGGTGTACAAAGAGCAGGCAGGCGGGTTTCCCACAAGGGGTGCCTCAGTCTCATGGTGCTCCTTTCTCTAGGGGGCTCTGACACCCTGGTGGGCACCTCCCTGGACACACCCCCGACCTCCGTGACAGGCACCTCGGAAGAGCAAGTGAGCTGGTGGGGCAGCGGGCAGACGGTCCTGGAGCAGGAAGCGGGCAGTGGGGGTGGCACCCGCCGCCTCCCGGGCAGCCCAAGGCAAGCACAGGCAACCGGGGCCGGGCCACGGCACCTGGGGGTGGAGCCGCTGGTGCGGGCATCTCGAGCTAATCTGGTGGGCGCAAGCTGGGGGTCAGAGGATAGCCTTTCCGTGGCCAGTGACCTGTACGGCAGCGCATTCAGCCTGTACAGAGGACGGGCGCTCTCTATCCACGTGTAAGTAATGGCCTTACCTGGGCCTGAACTGCCCCATCTCACCATGCTGTCCTGCGCTGCCCTCACTGCTCCGTTAGCCTCTACCCATCACCCTGCCCCATCCATCTCTCTGTGCACTTCTTCACCCCCTGCTGCCACTCCATCTTCCCACACTGCTCCCTCCTCCACCTGAGCCATCACCGCCCACATCCCCCTGCTCCCACCTGTCCTGGCTCACCATGCCATCTCCATGGTCTCCTGGACCCTTCTGTCCCTTCCTTGTCTCCTCCAAGATCTCCAGTTTCTCAGGGGTCCTCTTCTGCCTCACCCATTCAGGCTCCAGTTGTCCCCAGGATCCCTCCCCCCACCCAGGGGCCCCCTCCGTGCCTGCTGTCTCAGCAGCTGCTGCCTTTTCATCTCTCTGCACATTCCTGTTCCCATGTGGGCCTTTTTCTGAGAGGAACAGAACCTTTCCACACGGCAGCTCCCGGGAGAGCAGGAGAGAGCAGGGGAACAAGCCAGCAAGCAGGAGAGAGAAGAGAGTGAGGTGGCCAGGGGCAGATGGGGCAAGGGGCCTGTGAAAGCAGGAGGCCGTGGGCTGGGGGCGGCAGGGGGCTGCGAAAGGGAGGGGCTGGAAATGGGGCCAGGCTGGAGGGAGAGGGTGGGAGTGATGGTGACAGGGGGCTTGCAATTATTTCTCTCATGGGAAACCCCTAAGTCCCTGAGGGTGGGATTCAAGGTTGTCCTGGGAGGGAGTGTGAGGAGCGGAGGTGTTGGAGTGAGGCACTGGAGCCATTTTTGGAGATCTGGGGCTTGCAGATACATGAGAGAGCGCTATAGTGGAAGAGGGGAGTGGCTGATGATAGAGGTACTGGGGGCATTTGGGGAGCTGAGAGGGGCCTGGTTTGTGATGGGTATGGGTGTGGGGGCAGGCACCCTCGTGCAGGAGAAAGAAGGGGCCTGGTGGGGGAGGCTGCTTTGAGGGTGATAGAGTGGCTAGTGGTGGGCAGGGGAGAGGGCCAGGGCTGGGCCATGGCCAGGGGGAGGCTCCCTTGGCTAATCTTCTTGGCCTTACCCGGTGCTCCTGTGCCCTGGGCTTGCCTTTCCCTCTTGCCTTTCTTTACCAGGCCCCAGCCAGAGCCTGGAGTTGCTATGGCAACTTCGGAGGAACCCATTTCCTTAGTGATGTCTATGGTACAGAGACTGGCCTGGAGCTCAGAGCTGCCAGCAACAGGCCTCCTCTGCTGTCCTCAATTTCTCCCCAGGCCTCACCCAGTTCCCAGAGGCCCTTCCCTGGGGACTCTGCGGCCCTTCCCCCAGAGAAGACACTTCCTCCCTGCAGGTGGCTGGCTGGGGTTTCTGTCTCTCAGGGCACTCTGCATTGCCACCGCCCCCTTTAGCCCCAGTCAGAGGCGGGTCTGTCATGTGGGTGGCTGACTCAGGTAGGCTAAAATATCCTTAACTCGGGACCCCTAGAACTGCTTGTGACTGGCACTCTACTACTTGTCCTCCCTTCTGTGCCCCTGGAAACCCAGACACTTTGGAGGGAATAAGGGCTCAGGATTCTGACTGCCTGGGTTTCAATCCTAGCACCAATCATTTCCCAGCTGTGTCACGTTGGTAAGGCACTTAACCTTTCTTATGCCTCAGTTTCTTCATCTGTAAATGGGGGTGATCACAGTCCTTACCTCACAGGGCTGTTGTGAGTATTAAATGACTCAATGCATTTTAAGCACTTGGTACAAGCCTGGCACTCAGGAAATATTCAATGAGCCATTTTACAGATTTTTATTAAGCTCTCTCTGATGTGTCAGGTATGATAATACATCTAATTCCTTTTTTTTTTTTCTAATCTTTACAATTTTTATGTGTGATGTGCCCCCTCACCCGCCCCAGCCCCAGCAAGGGTCCAGATGGGGAAAACTGAGACCCAGCTCTCTTGGGCACCAAAGCTCTGTTAAGTGAAAGAGATACTCTGGGGTAACCGGCTCCTTCCCTCCTCCTTTTCGCCCACACTCCCTATTCAGGCCCACTTAGTAGCTATTTCCGAGCTGAGTTATTTCAGAGCATACCCCTGTGGGGGGCCTTCTATGCTTCTCAGGGGGGTTTCCAAGGACTCAAGATAGCTTTCCCAGGGGAAGCGCAAGTCAAAGGCCTATCCTGGGGGCAGACTGAGCAAGGGGAGTAGGAGCCTGGGCATTCCGTCGCCACCTGCTGTGTCCCATCAGTGTTGGTGGTGGCGGCAGGTATGGGCTCAGGTCTACACAGCAGCCAGGGAATCCTAGGGATGGGGCACTGCTCCCCAAAGGCTTGTGCCTGGTCCAGGAGGCTGTTGCTTGGCTTCCAGGGACCACTAGGAAGGGGTGTGCCCTGCTGATGATGGGCAGGGGTGTGGGGGCCAGCTGGGGGCTGGAATGAGTGGGCGGCTGCATTCCTGAGAGCGCCCCTCCCCACCCCACCTTCTTGTCTTCCCTCCCCACTTCATCCTTTGGGTCCTAAGTCTCATTCTTTTCTCTCCCTCATGCTCAGTTCTGTTTCCGCTGTTTCTCGGCTTCCAGGGCTGGGGGGAGGAGGCTGGCCCGAGTCCTAGGGCTGAGTCTGTACCAAGACCCAGCCATTAGCCCAATCTTGTGGTTCCAGAGCCGCCGGCCTCTCCCCAGCACCTGCTCTGGCTGTGCGCTCCTCGTGGGGGTGGGGGGTGGGGGGCAGGAGAATCTGGCCCATGTCACCCCCAAGCCTGCCCAGCATGCCCACCACCCAATTCCTGTCACAAGCTACGGGTCTAGGAGAGGAGGCCCTCTGAATCCTCTACCCCTCTCCATCTTGGTTCTGCAGCAGCGTCCCTCAGAGCGGGTTGCGCAGGGAGGAGCCCGACCTTCAGCCTCAG